AAAGAGTTATCATCACCATGAGACAAGGCGAAATATCAGAGTTTACCTGCGACACCAAGGTTTGTGAGTTGGCCATATTGGATGTGGCATGGTAACTCCTTTGTTTCTCCTCACGGCTCAGACTTTCTGTCTTTCTCCTTGCCCCTCAGCACACAGCATTGTACCCACTCGTGTCCCAGTCCCTAAGAAACATCAGTGCTGGTAAGGACCCCCTGGAAGGCCAGAGGCACTGCTGTGGCATTGCCCAGATCCACTCCCACCACTCTTTAGGACATAAAGACCTGGATCAGCTTCAGGCCAATCCGCAGCCTCTTGCCTTCACCATCGAGCTGCTGGAGGTGAGTGAGCAGCAGGGAATCCAAAGTTGAATATGGTTGATATTGTGTTTTAATGTGTTGCATTCAGGGCAGAGTGATTTTTATTTCTATTATTGCGCTAACACAATACCTGAGTTTTGATACAAATACTTTTTGATATCTTACTTTGTAAAATATGTTTTTTCCTCAAAACCAGTATTTTATTTTATTTTATTTTTTTTGATAAAAGAAACAAAAGGGCAGCACAGTGGCACGGTGGTTAGCACTGTTGAAGGTTCCGGGTTCGAGCCCCGGCAGACCCAGGGCCTTTCTGTGCGGAGTTTGCATGTTTTCCCACGTGCTTGCGTGGGTTCTCTCCGGGTACTCCGGTTTCCTCTCCCACAGTCCAAAGACATGCAGCATAGGTCGATTGGTGTCTCTAAATTGCCCGTAGGAGTGATTGTGTGTGTGAGTGGTTGTTCGTCTGCGTGTTAGCCCTGCGATGGACTGGCGACCTGTCCAAGGTGTACCACGCCTCTCACCCGCAGCTGGCTGGGATTGGCTCCAGCGCCCCGTGACCCCGTTTGGGACTAAGCGGTATAGAAAATGGATGGAAAAGAAACAAAAGTGCTGACAAGTCACATTTTGAAAAGGAGCTGAACAATAACTTTGTCTAAATAAAAAAGTGAAAATCTGGGTAGAAATTGGATCTAAACCAGCAACTGTCAATTTAGGTTGTATAACTACTTAACAGTTTTTCTCAGTCACTTTGGTACATTTCTAAAATCCAGGGGCATAGTTTTGCATATAGACAGTAGGGACATGTCCCTACCAGTCATTTGAGAGGACAGAAATGCCCCTACCAATAGTTGGGCAAACATGCAGACATTACCTTTGGAGCAAAGTCATATTAGATCATTCCGATGGGCCTGATGTGTAATCTTTTCTGAGACATCATACCATGAAAACTAGTGATGTGCAAATGAAGCAATGAACCAGTATTGAACCCCTTCATCAGTTATCTCAAAAATGGGTTCATTCATTCAAAGCTTAGTTTCAGTGATATCTAGTGCAGAAATAGAAGACACTGAAACTATGTCTTAATTATGTGATGAGTGTAACTAGGGTTTGTGTGAATGATATAAATACATTTTTGTAAAGATTGATTGATTGGTCGATTCTATAAACTTAGTAGTTGGGAGAAGGCATGCTTGGGGAAGCAGAGGATGTGCTAGGATGGTATGGTGTGCTTGTGTAACTAGGGCAAGGTGTGATTATATAAGTGGAATGGAGATTCAAAGATTTTTATTGAGAAAATATTTTTCATCTTGCGCTGCGAAGCAGTGTCGACTCATTTGAACCAGTCACATGATTCACTCAGGGGACCGAAGCAGTTTCTGCTTCGGACGGCATCGGTCATGAATCTTTTTCCGCACCAAAGCAAGCTTTGAAGCAGTGGTTCAAGAAAAATACTGCTTCGAGTTTGAAGCTTGTATCGGAGCATCAGTGTCAGATAGCCATCACTAGTGAAAACCTCATACTGTTGCAACCTTACTCCCATTGCCATACAGCACTGCATAGCACAAAGGAGAAAAAAAAAATCATCATACACTATGGTCCACAGGCGTAGCCCTTATTTCACTGGGAGCTTGTTTATGTCCTTGGCATCTTCTCCGTCTTAATCTGTTTTACCCCCCCAAGGCCTTACTTCTCTTCTTGTTCCTGGTGGTTGACTCTGTTCAGTCCCTCGTTTTTCCATCCATGTCTATATATGCTTGCAGTTGAAGGTTTGTGAGATACACCTCTGAGCTGAGTAGAGGAGCGGCTGATCTAATGCTTCACACATTCCCCTTCATTAGTGAAAGTTGAGATTTACCTCAGAGCGATTCAACACTTCAGGACATGCAAAAAAAAAGTCTAATAGAGCTGAATATTAAACATGCTTGACAGATACTAAAGACAACTGGTTCACCCGTTTCTGATCTGAGAAATGTACTAAAGTGAGTGAGGAAAAACTGTAATGATAAGACTTGTAGAGTTTCTGGTAACCATTTTCAGTACTTGATGTTCAACAGACACACTTTGGTTAATACAATAAACAGTTGACATTTGAAGCCCAGCTAAATTTGTAATAACACATTTATGACACAAACTGAACTTCATAGCCCTTCCACTAAAATGGGATTCACTGCAGAGATACTGTAATAAATTCCATCAGACTATAGAGCATGCCATTAAGCATTGCTATGTGCTACCACAGTTCAAATTCAAATTTTATTTCTATAGCACCAAATCACAACAAAAGTCATCTCAGGACACTTTACAAAGTAAGGTCTAGATCTTACTATTATCAGTATTATTATAGAGGAAAACCCAACACTGTACTTTCCTACAGTGAAAGCTCTATCTGCCACTGATCGCCAGTCTCTTTGCCTGCCAGGTTCTACCTCCAGGGTCGTTCCAGCTTGATGTGTGGGCTATGACAGATGAAGAGAAACTCGAGCTTGTACCTCTTATCCATGAAGAGGGCAACATGCTCTTCAAACAAGGCAAAGTTAAGGAGGCCACTGAGAAGTACTACAATGGTATAGCTTGTCTCAAAAATCTACAGATGAAGGTTAGGAGATAGTTACTCTTGTGTAGTTCATTGTAATTAGCACAAATACATAAGTGTATGTTCATGTTAAAGATCATATCCAGCTGTTTGTTTTATTTCTTGAGTAGGTCTTGTGCTGGAATTAGTTTAATAGCTTTAATCCTGACAGCTCTAGTCTAAAGAGTCTATTGCTGTACATTGCATTCAAGTCTATAATGTTTTGGTGTGAATTTTCCTCTTATTTAAGGAACATCCTGGACAAGAATCATGGCTGAAGTTGGACCAAATGATGACACCACTGCTCCTCAACTACTGCCAGTGCAAGTTAATCCAGGGGGAGTACTACGAAGTCATTGAACACTGCTCATCCTTGGTCTTCAAATATGAGGGTATGGTTTTATTATTGGTGCTGTGCAGAGATGAGTGGTTTCTGCTCCTACAGATAATTAATTTACTCCATTGTAACAGCTAATTGTCCCATATATTTCCTTTCTTCACATATACTGTAGCAACTAAGTTATAACTTGACAGAAGCTCTTATTTTTGTGGTCTGAGAAGCTACCACCCCCGTTTTCTGGTTAAACTCTTTCTGAAAATGCAGTTTTTTCATCATATACATAAATTTCTGGATAACTGTTCTTGGTCTTGCTCCCAATGCAGCTGTGTTTTCATCCACTCACATCCTCTTCTTCCTAACAGACAACGTGAAGGCCTTCTATAAGCGGGCTAAAGCCCATGCTGCAGTGTGGAATGAGGCTGAGGCACGAGCAGACTTTGCTAAGGTCCTGGAGCTCGATCCCTCTTTGGGGCAATCTGTCACTAAAGAGCTGAGGGTCATGGAGGAGAGGATCCATGCCAAGGAGAAGGAGGAAAAGGGTCGCTACAAAGGCCTGTTTAACTGTAACACACCACCAGCCACTGCCACAACGGTGAGTTTGTTCTGTTAAGCTACATTCAGACTTGTGTGTCACTGCATGTATGGGAACGTATGCATTTGTCATTCAAAGACAGTTGCATAGCTGTTACAAATTTATGCTTGTGTGAACATTATGTTCTAACTAGCGGGTGCACAAACAGCAAATTGCAGAAAAGACGAAGTCAGGAAATGGAAATGGTAGAGATTTTGAGCCAGGCTGAAAGCTGTATTCATTTTCACCCTAGGACTGGCATTATGCCACTTTGTTAAGTGTTTATTTTTTTAGGCTAGGAAGTAACATTTAGATTGAGATTAGGTGGTCAGCCTAGCCAAGTAACGCCAATTTGCTCAGATGTTTTCAGAGATGCGAGTACCTGCTACAGGACCAACAGCAAGCAGCTACTTCTTGGTCAGAGCAGAGTCAGATCAGCCAATTGCAATACGGAATGTGCAGCTCTGCACAACACATAGTTGAAATTGGGGAGGTGTACTCAGCAATCTACATTTTACCCATAAACCACTTCGCTGCATAAGCACGTGTCGTTGCGGACAAGTCTAAATTGTTTTAATTGCATCTATCCTATTTTTGGGCAGCCAGTCTTAAATCGAAATGAGAAACTTGTTTGCACAATGTGGAATTTGAATAGTCTCTTCTGTCCTCCTCCTCTTCACAGGGTTGAATCTCTCTTTGTCAGTTGGGAACAAGAATGGCTGTAAATTTCAAGATGGAGGAGAAACAATAGACACTGCTGGTGTTTTAGCTTTATCCTTGATGTACCCAAGCCAAACATCCTGCCGCCCTGCACTCCATGGTTCATGCAGATACAGTCTCCCATAGTGTCAAGTCGTACACACAAACCGCACTGTATATACCAAGGTGCGTATTTGCAGTCCTGACTTATTCTTATAAACTCCCTCTAAATGTAAAATTCAGTTTTTAATGAGGACATGCTGATATCAGTATGGCTTTAATGAAAGCCCAAAATTCCATAGAAACCTTAGGTCTAAATAAGAACATCATTAATTCTGTGCATTGCTGCCTTCGGTCTAAGGGAACACTAAGTTGCAGTTGTTATTGAGCCTCTTAAGGTCTCAGAAATTCTAGCATTCTTGGTAAATAACTTGCTCACAGTAATGGGCTACCCAGAGAATGTTAGCAATGGTTTTGACAACTGCAGTGTGGATCTTTTTATTTAATGATGAATTTACCTGCTGCTTGCAGAAGGTCATTATTTAGCAGTTTATATATCACAGATCAATTTGCCACAGTATTAGAAACACATAGCTTGAGTATTGTCACCTTGCTTTGTCTGAAATACGTGCAGAGTAGTTGGATAATTCTTAAAATTATTCAGAATTGTTGGCCTGATAAGAAAAGATTACAGTACATTTCTTACCCAGTGCTCTCCCCTACAAAAAAACCCACCTATAAATATTTTTTGTGTGTGTACAAAGAACATGTACTGTCGTCCATGGCCAGACCTCACTTCTTAATGTCAGTAGAGGTACTGGAATAAGGAGATTATGTCCTGGTTGGTGTGATGTGGAAACAGAGCTATCTATGCCTGACACATATGGCCTTGTGTTGTCTTTGCTTTCTCCTATGAAATTATTAGATTTTTTTTTGTAAGAAATACTCAAGATGTACTAAATATAAAATATCGGCTTTGCTTCCTTAAGAGATTTTCGTTACTCTTTGTACAAGGTGTAGTCGCTCCTTAGCCCAGCCTCTCTGAAGTTAAACGTTTGAGGTTGTGATTATGTAACTGAAAATAAATATTTATCCCTAGCTTTGCATCTTTTTTTATATACAGTTGGTACCTGCATACAGGTAATAATTAGCCCCTTGTATTATTTCAGGTCTGGGTGCCATGTAAATTTGCAGTTAGACAATTAATGTTTAAGATCAGTTAAAACGGGAAAGATATCTGTGATCTATTTTTCACATTTCACAAATGAAAATAAAACCATTTGTTATTTATTTGATTATATATACCGAACTGCAAAAATCTGGTTTACAAAATTTTCATACTAACAAATTGACTTGATGTACAGAGTTCTTGGGATTGACAATCTAACGAGTGTTTACACTACAAAATATAACAAATGAAGGATTAATGGAAACAGGGCATATTCAAGAGGCTCAAAATATTCAGTGGTTGCATTGTGAAGTTCAGAATAGAAAATTGAGGACAGGTGGAGTTTAAACATTGCTTTCATCATTTTAAAAAAGCCAATTTTGTTGGTCAATTACCAATATTGAAGAGCTAATGCTATAAATATTTTCCATTTTACCCCACAGCTTAACTTGATGTGTTCTAAGCCCCCCCACATATTTTAAAATGGATACAAAACTGCATGTTGTATACACCCCCCAGGCCTGAAAAAGTCTGCCACAAACAAAACAGCGGAGACAAGAAGGTCATACTGCACCTGTAAACCCCCAGCAAGGACAATGCAAACATGTGTGAGGAAGAAAAAAAAACATTGTAAAACAGATGATGGAGAGGGCAGGCTACTACAAGGGAGGAGAGAAGGGATTTTTCCACAAGGTTACGTGCGGGCGCTTCGTTCCGTTTCTGCAAGACACTCCCTGACCAGTGCACGGGCGTGGATTATACCTGCACAAGACAAACAGTGCAAGGAGGCTTTAAATCAGCAGTTTGGGGTTCACGAGATTAACTGGAAAAATAATTGGTAGCACTTTTAAAGTCCTGCCTGAGTTTAACCTCAGCTACAAAAATGTAATGTATCCAAGACAGATGTTACAGCTAAGACAAGAATGGGGTTGCCCTTGTACGTAAGACAAGTTAAAGACAAAAGGGGGCTTAGTGGTCCATCTGCCTGTAAATTAAAAGCCAGATAGTAATACTACAGCCACTGCAGTTACTTGGGTTTCTCATGCATGTGATTTCAATCATGCTAGCACAATTTAAAAGCATGACCTTTTATACCCCTGTGTTTTATTGATACTGGTCCTCATTTTGCTGTCCCTATGTAGGCGGATAACCAGACCATAACTGAGTCCTGTTGTTATGCTTGGCGCACCGGCCTTGGCAACCACCAACGCAAAGCCAGAGCTGTTTATATTCACACCTGAGGTGCAGTTGACACTTAAAGCCGTTTTCAGATAGGACGCTGTATCCACTGTGCTCGCCACTGCGGAGGAGGGCATGCGCACACGCAAATCGCGCACATCTTGGGTGCCAGTTGCTATACGATCAAAAAGCTTTCCAGGAGGTGTTTAGCGTATAGCGACTAGTTTTTCAAGCAGCGGATTTGGATGCACGATGTACTTATCTACATTTCAGCAAAAAGCTCTGGCTTTAGTTGTAGTGAGGAGGAGGAGGAGATGAGCTGCAGCAAATAAGAGGATGTGGGTCCACCATATTTGTTGTCGTCTGTCAGGTTCTCTGATATTGGATGCATCGAGGTGGTGTTACAGAGCGCTGCACCCAAGTTAAACTTTCTTTTAACTTCAGTGCAGCGTGGAGGGACAGCACACGCGACCTTGTGCAGATGGGTCCCTGCGCCACGCAACACACAAATGAGTGGGTTTGATAGCAGAGCGTAGCACCCACCGCGTCCTGTCTTAAAACGGCTTAAGGCATGTTCACATTACAGTGGAAAAACAGCTCGCCATTGTTGTGTATGTGGTGTGCTATGCAGGTTCTACACAGACGTCTGCAGTGCAGAGCAGGGATGTGCTGAAAGTTCAACTTTATTGAACTTTGACCCCATTTGTGCTGCTGTGCATGCAACAGATCACCGTTTCGCCCTGGCTTTGCCTATACCCATAGACCCCCGGGTTACAGTATGTAACCGTTTCTGAATTTTATATATTTCATTAGCTAAATAGGTGGTCTGTCTTTATCTGAACCTGACGTGAAGATCATATTACTGTACAGCTTGGGAAAATTCTGAAACATTGGTTACACACTGTAACCTGAGGTTTAAAGAATAAAGGTAAAGCCAGAGTGAAATAGTGATTGGCTGCACACGCAGAAGTCAGCGCAACAAAATTGAACTTTAAACCTTTGGCACACCCAAACTCTGCAGAGCCTGCATGGCGCACCACGCAAAAGCTGGTTTTTCGCTGTGATGTGAACATACCATTAGACTCCAGGGGCCTGTACCATGAAGCGAGATTAGTGGCTTATCCAGCTAACTTTAGGCTCAGCTCTAGTTTTCTGGTACCACAACGCTGGCTCACCTTTAGTCCTTCTAGATCACCATAGTAACTGGTGCTGCACAACTAACCTGCTCAGGAGAAGGTTAAGTTCAGAGAATTGGATCAAAACCTGCCAACAGCCGAATACACTGAGAATCAGATCATGGAAAAAACTGAGGGATCATTCCTACAGGATCCTGACAGGGACAAAAGAGTTTAAATTAATGTGATAAATAATAAATAGACTGGCTATTTCTATAGAGCAGACATATTATGCTGTTTCAGGCTTTGCAGGGGTCACACTAGTTTAAAGCAGAGTTTCTAACAAACTTAGGGCATCTACAGCCTCTGTGAGGATCAATGCTGTATTTTAAATGCACAAAGATTAGGCTATTTGATTCCTGATTGTTGATGTTTTTACAGGCTTCCACCTCTGCAGCTCAACATGAGGAGGCACTGCGATGATTGTATTTTATTAGAAAAATAATCCATACACTGTCAAATACTTCCCATTATTATAAATGAACATTTGACTTCTCCACTGTCCTCTCCTCTCCTCTCCTCTCCCCTCCAGCAGCAGAAGTGTTGAATTCACAATAGTTTCTTCATCATCACAGGAGAAAAATATACTCACTGAATACGACTCTTAAAATAATACTGCACTAACATATGGTAAATTCTTAGCCAATCCTTAATATCTAAAAGTTATTTTTTGCATTTCAGCTTCTTGTTCTATTCTAATTATGTGACCACAGCCTATTGTTCACAATTCACCAGTTGTAACATCACATTTTGCTCTGGTTATAAATGAATATCCCCGCGGCTGTCGCTGCTCCATCTCATATTATATTCAGTAGCCTACTTAATTCATTGTTCTGGCAATGTTTCTGCTTACTAACAACTCTGCCTCGTTCACATTAACAAACTGCAGCTAGGTAGGAAAACCCAGACTTAACAGTGCCAGTTGATAACCTGCTTCATGGTACCAGTTAGATACACTCAATGTTAGGCTGTGTGAAACCAAAAACCCCAAGAGAGTAAGCTGAACTCGCTTCATGGTACAGGCCTCAGAGAGGTTCCCTCTTAGATCTCTTTGATAAACAGTTTAAGCCCAGCATTTGGCCCAATTATTCCCAGTACACAAATCACAAAATAAAAATTATGAATTGTCCTGACAACAGGTATATGTTTTGACAAGTAAAACATACCTCTCTTTAGTCTCTCCATAGCACTCTTGCTCCCAGCGTATGTAGGCCTGATCTCACGACTCATCTCCTCAATAACAGACAGAAGCTCACTGTAGGTGGACCCTTGAGACACTTTGACAGGCTGTGTATTTTTTTGTGAGAGAAAAAAAAAATATCCATCAAGAACTGTCACAGCTTCAAATTCACATCACAGGTAAAGCGTACTCTTACTAATACTGGTTTACTTGTATGTATTATTATGGTATTACTAAAGTGTAAGACAACAGAACAGGATGGACAACTGTGATGCAGACATACCTGAACAAATCCCATGGAGGGTGGGCCAAAGTCGCTGAAAGCTGGCCTAAAGTTGGACGACGAGGGAAGAGATGGAGACGGCACAGAAGAGCCTGGGCAGCAAATCAGAATACATCTACTGTAACACACTACAGCCAAAACCCATAACACAAAAATAATGAGAAGAAACCTGCCTTCTGGAACATTTATTTTTAGTAAGGTATAAGCAATCATTCACTGTAAGAGTCCCTGATGCTCATAAGCCAGAGCCATTATTTGTTACACTGAACACACCTCAGCGTGTCATTACTTGTATATCATGGCCACTTACTGCAGACGAATGCAAGATATGAAAATAACCATCCATGTTTGATGCTCTCTCAAGTAGTTGTGTTATTAGGGGTGGAACATTTCAAGTAAAAAAAAATGTGACCTGTTCGGTTTGGAGCATATATGTACTGTTTGAAATAGGCTCAGGCATAGGCAGAAAAAATATGAAGTTACTGAGGGGGTAAAAAAAGCCCAATGTCAATAACCCAGCAGGGCTCCAGACTGCAAGCGATCGGTTGCATTTTGCAACCAAATTTATTTAAGGTGCAACTGAGTTTTTTCAAAGTTTGCACTGGGTACGACTGAAAAATAAAGAGGTTATGTACGAACGACTGCTCTCACTGTAGAAGTAGTGGACAGACGTAACAATGTCATCGCAACATTTATTTGCAGGTCTGACACTTCTAATTCATCGGGCTCCTGGTGTCAGTAGGTACCGCACTGTCCTCCTGCTGACAGACAGCAGACGTTCTTCTATAGAAGAAAAACGAGCTACAAATTAATCACGTACACAAACAGCAATGCATGTGCAGAATTCATCAAGTG